CACGCACAAGCACAAGCACACACAAATAAGTGGAGCATATTCCGGGCGGCTTGAAAACCCAACAGACAACGACACCCCGCAGAAAGCCCGCACCCGCTACACAACACACAACACACACCGGCTGAAAGGCGCGGGGAGCCGGGGGAAGCACACACTACACAACACACACACCGCACGGCGCGGGTCGGAGGCAGTGCGCCGCAAGAGCCGACAAGCCCGCCCGCGCCAGGCACAACACAGACAAACACCAGACAAAGTGCGCACACACACACAATGCATGGAGCCTTATACCAGATGGTGCAAAAAACCCCAAGACCCAATCCCTTCCCAAAAACCAGTAGCGCAGTAGATAAAACGCAAGCCCCACACGACACACTCAAGGATCGGACAAACCCCCCACCCCCCCACACACATGCACACTCGCAGCCCCTCACACACACACACCCCTCCACACACACACACCCTTTACACACAGCCCCCCACACACTCATTCACATACAGCCCCACATACACACTCTCTCACATACACCCCCTCACACACACACAGACACCCCTTTCACACGCACCCCTGACACACTCACGCACACCCCCTCACACACAGACACACAGCCCTTACACACACACTCCCTCAGACACCCTCCTCCACATACACCCTCCTTTACACACCCTCACGCGCACACATGCCTCTTACACACACTCTCACACACACCACACCGCCTTTACACACACTCACGCATATGCAGCCCCTTACACACACACACACGCAGCCCCGCACAATGCAGCACCCAGAGCAGCCGCAGCCCCGGGCGCTTTGCAAGGACCCGCGGCGCACCCCCTGCCCCTGCCCTGCCCGGCCCGGCCCGGCCCGGCCCTGGGTACCTCCACTTGGTCCTCCTGTTCTGGAACCAGGTCTTGACCTGCGCGTCGGTCATCTTGAGCGCCTTGGCCAGGGCGGCGCGCTCGGCCGAGGCCAGGTACTTCTGGCGGTGGAAGCGCTTCTCCAGCTCGCAGATCTGCAGGCGCGTGAAGGACGTGCGGGGCTTCTTCTTCTTGGGGGGGGTCCGGTTCTGGTAGGGGTGACCTATACGACGTGTTACAGTGAAGGGTGAGAGCGCCACTGGAGCACAGAGGGGGGGGGGGGGGCAGAACATCAGGAGGGGTCCACAAGCAAGAGCAGAGAGAGACACGCACGGGGGTCCCCCAGCCCCGGGCTTCACCCCCCGTCCCCCGGGGAGAAGGAAGCGGAGCTGGGCTGAGACATCCCGGAGCAGAGCAAAGAGTGCCCCCCACCCCTCCAGGAGCTCCTGGGGGTGATGCCCCGCTTGCAATTGGGGGTGCGAACGATCCTGGCTGCCAACCCAGGGGGGCGTGCAGCAGAGAGAGACACGCACGGGGGTCCCCCAGCCCCGGGCTTCACCCCCCGTCCCCCGGGGAGAAGGAAGCGGAGCTGGGCTGAGACATCCCGGAGCAGAGCAAAGAGTGCCCCCCACCCCTCCAGGAGCTCCTGGGGGTGATGCCCCGCTTGCAATTGGGGGTGCGAACGATCCTGGCTGCCAACCCAGGGGGGCGTGCGGGGTGGGCAGCGGGGGGTCAGAGTCCATGCAGGTCTCTAATGAGGATCCACGCGTGTGCCGCTTTCACAGGGGGCACCTGGCGCGTCGGGAAAGCCCGGTGGGCGCAGTGTGGGGGGTCGATGAGGCCATGGTCCATGCGATGGGTACCCGTGCAATGGGTACAGCACCAGCCGGCCCCACTCCTTCGGGGATCCCGTCGCGCGCGGCGTGGGGCCCCCCACCCGGCTGCAACAAAGAGCCCCGACTCTCCCCCCAGCCACCAGCGCCTCTGCAGACGCCTAGGCCGGGGCATTTCTTTGCAGGGCCCTTGCCGCCCACCCCGCCGGGGATTTGCAAGGCCACAGCCCCCCCCATGCACCGCAAGGACCCGCGGGCCTATTTCCCCCTTCCAAAGAGGCTGGAGAAGGGAGAAATGGAAGCAGATCTCTTCGCTGTGCATTGATCTCCTTCCTCCATTTTGCCAGCTCGGTGCGAGCTTCCCCTCCCCGCTCCCAGCCCCTGTGCCCGGGCCGGGCCTCATCCGGCCGGGGCATACGGGGGAAATACTAGGCCGGCGGGGCACAGGGCAAGGGGAGCTGGGGGGGAGAGGTCTAGCTGCAGCCCCCTTCCTGCATCAGCCTCGCCCGCAGCCACCTCGGGCCGGGACAGGTTCCCTGGAGTTATCACAACCAAAAAAAATGATCCCTCTGAATGAATCTGGGAATTATCCAGGCTGCGCTGTCAAGGGGGGGGGGGGTCTCTTTCCTACTGCACTCTCGCTGCTTTGCAAACCCGCTCCGCTTCGGCTTGCATCTGGAGAGACACCGCTTCGGGCCCGAGGCAGCTGGGGGCTCTCCCTGCCACGGGAATTGGGGCTCCCGGGGACACCAGGGCTCGGGCATGGGTTTGCAGAGGTGGGAAGGGGGATTCCCCCCCTCCCCAAAATCAAATCAAAGCCCCGAGCCTGGAAACCTCGAGCCGCAATGGAAGGGCGGGTTGTTCTGCACCAGGCCTCCATGCCTCCGTGCCGAGAGCCGGAGCGAAGGAAACCACTGCTCTTCCCCTCTGCCTGGTTCCTCCCGGGGCTGGGGCCGAGCTCCCCAAGCAGCTCCCCCTTCTCGCGCCAGCTTCCCCTCTCCGCCTGCCTCTGTCCTTCAGGGTGCATTTTTTCGGGAGGAATATTTCTGCCCACGCCTGCCTGGATTCCCACCCGCGGGCGCCGGGTGTTGCCCGCAGAAGCGGGGCAACAAGGAGATGAATGAATACACCGAATAAAAGACACCGGGTTTGCCCGAAGAGCGGCACGGCTACAGCCCGCGCTTCGGGGACCAGAGCAGCGCTCCTAAATCCCTTGCCCGCGGGCGGACTCACCTGTGAACCTGTCTTTGGTGTATCTCCTGTTGCTCTCCATCCAGGGGAAGGTGAGGCCCGTGAGGCTGCCCACGTTGCTGACCGCGGGCGCGGCGCCGGAGAGGGGCTGCGGGAGCCCCCCTGCCAGGG